ATTGTTTTGCTATTGAACTTATGGATTTTACAACTCATGAAAAATTTGATGTTTTGAACTTGGACAATGGGAAAGCATCTTTGAGTGCAGGAGATGATGGCGGAAGCAAGAATCGGAAGGAGCAAGTTTACTTCATGGACTTAATTTCAACTCCTCCGAGAGAAAGTCATACGAGTCGAGGTTTTGACGACGAGGAGAATGCAAGGAAGATGTTGCCACCCAAAGACTCGAGCAAGTCACGAGAGAAGGATGAGTCAAGCTATTGTGTTCGTAAGGAGAAAATCAAAAAGGAATTGCACAAAGGACAATTGGTGTTATTGTGCAAATCCCATCTTTGGTTATTTCCAAGGAAGCGCAGATCAAAGTGGTCGCGGCCGTTTATTGTCCAAGAAATTCTTCCTCACGAGGTGGTCAAAATAAAGGAGCGAGATTCAAATCGTACGTTCAACGTGAAGCGGAGCCGGCTCAAACCGTATTGGGAAGCGAGTGAAGATTGCCAAGTGACTTCGGTCGCTTTTGCTTGAAAATAAAGAACCAACGTCCGGCTGAAGACTTTAAACTTAGCGCTTCTCGGGAGGCAACCCGAGCTTTATGTTTTCGTAGTTTTCTTTAATTTTTCGTTTCGTTTTTCTTTTCATAGGCATGCATTCTAATTAATCTATTTGAATTTTAATTTTCAGGGTCGAAAACATGGTCAGGGGGTCCAGACGGCCATCCGAAATTGCAAGCAAAATCTCAGACGGCCGTCTGGGAAACAGAAAGCTCCAAACGGCATCACTGCCAGTGGGACGGCCGTCCGAAAATAAGGCACAAACATGGGACGGCTGTCCCGTGAATAGTGGGGAGACAGAAGATGTCGGACGGCCGTCCGAAAATCAGCATAAAAAAACCGGGACGGCCGTCCGACTAGTTTTGGGGCGTTTTAACTTTAAAAAAATTAGATTTTCTCCCCCATTATTTCCTAAACCCTCCCCTTTCCTTCTCTCAAACTCCCACACACAAATGGAGGCTAGAGAATCGAACCAAATTCTTCAAGATCTACTCTTTCAAGGCACGCCCACAAGGTGTTCGACAATTTGCTCCAACCAAATTTTGAGTTCGATTGTTAACCAATTCTCACCGAATATATTTCAATCTCTCTCCCAACTATGTCGTCCAACAAACGAGGCCGCACGAGCGAAGCATCATCTTCCAAAGGGAGGAAAAGGGAAAGAAAAGTGCCACCGCCCAATGAGGACGAGCGTGAGAGAGCGAGGGAGGAGCACCCCGATCACATCGACTCCAACTAAATCAGGTGTTTCCTATCCTTAAACTTTGAGCTAAATTCGTTGAGGGCAACGAAAATTTTAAGTTTGGGGGTGAAAAACATGTTATTTTTGTGCTTATTTGTTTTAGTTTGCATGCATTAGGTTTTATTCGTTTTTATTGTTTTTCTCGTTTTTCCGAAGAAAAAAAAAATTGCTTGAGTCGAATGCATCGATGATTTATGATGATGAGAGGTGATCAATGTTTGATGATGAGATTGCTTGTTTTGTGTGATAAGGATTTGATGTTTGTTTAGCTTCCGATTCAACGGGACTTAGAAGCGAATTATTGCTAGGAATCACATTTTGTGCATTGTGTTGGTTGAATGTTTTGTATTTTAAATTTGGAATTAATTTGTGCTAGATCATGCTATGTTCGGTTTTAAGACTCACCTTAGGTAAGTTATGATACGAAGTATTGAGTAGTGAGTGATTTGGGATATGATTTGGGCCTTCTTTGAACCGTTTGAGCCTTTCAAGCCGACCTTTTTATCGAAATATTCCTTAGAACCTTGATTTGAGCCTCGGAGAAAAGGTGTTCTTTCTTTTAGCCATGTGTATAAGATAGAAAAGTGGAGACTCTTGAAAAATTAACCCTTCAAGTTCGGTCGAGTTATAAGGTCCTTCTTCTTCTTCAGAAAAAAAAAAAAAAAAAAAAAAAAAAAAAAAAAAAAAAAAAGAAGAAGAAGAAGAGACTAGAAGGGAGAAATAAGGACTAGTTGTTGAATTATTTTTGAAAACTCGATCCATTGCCTCAAAAGCAAAAGTGGAGACTTTTGACTTTTGAAAATCGAGTTTATTAAAGTCCGTAGAGGTGAATTCATTGTATCAAACGCCTATCTTTCAAATTTTGGCGTAATCACCTTAAATTCAAGAAGAATGGCCACACATACCCGTATTTCCTACCTCGAACCAAAGAGCCTAACAATTGAAAGCCACAAAGCCCCAATGATCCCAATAGCTTAATGTTCGATATTAGTAGAGTAGAATAATTTGGTGAGTATTTGGAGTCAAGCATATGCATGTAAGTATAAATTCTTTATATCTTTAATTTGCAAATATTGGATGCTTGAAGCAATTGTATGAATTGTGGTTTTTGGTAATGGTGAGTGACTAAGTGTTGTTGAATTTTGAGCTTGCGAATACCTAAGAATTGTCATTATAATTACAAGTTCTGAAAACGTGAAGTTGATCATTGATCTATGTGATGAGATGTTATAATTAAGTTATTTGCTTATTGGAAGATTTTGCTTGAGGACAAGCAAAAGTTCAAGTTTGGGGGTGTGTTAAGTGTATATTTTTACACTTTATCGTACCTTTTTATTTGACCTTTTGGTGTGTTTTAATGATAATTGGTGCTTAAAACGTTGAGTTATTGTATTTTAGGTACAAATTGAAGAATTGGAAAAGTATGGGGTAAAAACTGCAATTTTGGAGAAAATATGGGCCAAAAGTGAAAAAATCAAAATTCTGAAGATGTAAAGCTCGGACCCCCGTCCCAGTTTTAGTTCAAATTGTGAGACCCCCGTCCGAGACTCCGAAGTTGCGCAGTAAAGGGATTTTAATTGCACAAGGAAACTGCCTTCTTCCCCAAGTTCTTCACCCTATATAAGACCGAACCAAGCACACAATTGAGGATCTTTTTTTACGCAATTTGGAGAGCAACAAAGCAATAATGAAGACGAACAATTCGAAGACTCTAAGCATAGATTTATCGTTTATGACTTATTTTATTTGCGTTTTTCCTTTAATCATGAGTAGCTAATTTTCTTATTTCTAGGATTTTATTTGGAACCCTATGTGGGATTTATGAACCCAATTCTATGATTTTATGCAAGTTTTAATTCCGAATTATTTCTTCTACTTGTTTTATTAAGTGCATGAACTTGATCAACTTATGTGCTTTTATGTTATTGTTAATCGCATGAATCGGAAGATCGGGTTAATAATTAGAACTGTGGTAGAAGAACCATTGTGGTACTAACATAGGAATATAGTTAATCTCTTAGGTAGCCATTATTGAGATTTGTGCTTAATGTTGTGTTCTAGAATTAATTGCATAGGAATATAGTAATTGAATCTAGAGTATTAGAATCGTAATACACGCGGAAGCGGGTTATGATTATTTTAGCATCTCAGGTTAATAATCCGGGTTAATCGCTTGCATAATTGAAGGAATTGGGGGAGTAATAATCACGTAGGGGGAAAAATAAAATCCTAGGCTTGTCTACTTTGATTAATCTTCGTGTTTACATTGTTTTCTTGTTTTTTATCTTTTTAATTGCTTTAATTTAGTTTAATTTAGTTAATCTTTTCCAAATTCGACTGTGTAGGGTGGGCTTGAAAACAATTGGTAGAATTTAGCGTCTAGGATTAGATAATTAAATATTCTCTGCGGGATCGATACTTGGACTTAAAAAATCCACTTTATTACTTGTACGATACGTACACTTGCGTGTAGGTTTTCGCCCAACAGTAACCCAACGATTCATAATTATAAATAAACTAATAGAATACAAATATCTGATCACAAACTCGATTAGAATCTTCCTTTTAATTTCTTATTATTTTCTTTTTTTTTTCGTTTTTTTTGGGGGTAATTGAAGCAAGAATCTTGGTGATACACTAATTATTAATAAAGTTGAATTCGATTCGAATGTAAATCTGCCTGCTGTCACACTGGCAATTAATTAGCTATATTTTACAAGAAGATATATATATATATATATAAATGAAAATCTTTATGTAACTTAAAACAAAGGGTTTCATTAGTACTCCAATAAACGTAACCACTAGGGTTGCCTCGCGCGTTTCATCACTACCAAAAAGGGATCATGCAATAATATCATTGGTGGATGCTGTGTGTGTGTGTGTGTTTTTTCTTATGTGTGTGTGTTTTTTTTTTTTGTGTGTGTGTATGTGTTTGTGTGTGTTTGTGTGTGTGTTGTGTGGGACAGAGACACAGCCACTAAAGGATAGAGGTAGTCATTCTCCACATTTTGTCTTATGATAATTGATAACACATACACACACATATAGAAGGGGGATTTTCGTAATTTGACCGTACCTCAGGGGTGGTTGTAATTTAACCTATAATATATATATTGAGAGATTAATTGAGAATAATTTACCCTATAATATATATATATATTGAGAGATTAACTGAGAATAATGATTATTGGTATATAATGTGGTAGCTTACGCCATGCAATTTCTTTTCTTTTCCCATTATATTTGTTTTCATGACTCAGATGCCTTGTTCTGTTTTCAAACGTGTACTCCATCCAATCTTCTTCGTCAGCTTCCAAAAACAAATAAATTAATTAAAAATAAATATATATATATATATATATATATATATATATATATATATATATATATATATATATATATATATATATATATATATATATATATATATATATATATATATATATATATATATATATATATATATATATATATATATATATATATATATAAATAATGTGAAAATGGATAACACATTTCACTTTTTATGATATTCCATCAGATTCCACATGAAATAATATTTCTTTTAAAAACAGAAGTAGCATCCTCCCCAAACAGCCCCTAATTCTCACTTATGCATGTTTTTTTGTTTTTTGGGATACTAATTCCCCACTACTATAAATATGTTCACAACTTCACTTAGCTTGCAACTTCTTAAGAAACAAAACCAACTCTCTCTCTCTTTGTATACATACTTAATTTCTCTCTCATCTAATTAATTCACAACATTTAAGAGAGAGAGAAGAAAAAAAAGAAAAAAAAATGAAGAGTAGCATCCAAACATGTTGTAGTAGTAGTTTATTCAAGAGCTGCAAACCCTACATCGGTATGATATCGTTGCAGTTCGGATACGCCGGCATGAATATTATAACCAAGATATCGCTCAACGGTGGCATGAGTCATTACGTTTTGGTCGTTTATCGTCACGCCATTGCCACCGCCGTTATCGCTCCCTTTGCTTTCTTCTTCGAGAGGTACGTACACACTTAATTACTATCTAATATATATTTATAAAAAATAAAATAAAATATTGTGCATGTATATATGTTGATTTCGATTCCGATTGCAGGAAAGCACAGCCAAAGATAACGTTCCCCGTTTTCATGCAAATTTTCGTCCTCGGCCTTCTTGGGTAATTAATTATTTAATTATTTAATTAATCCCTTATCTTCTTGATTTCATTGAAAAAAGAAATCTAAATGAATTTGTTTTCTCCAATTTAGGCCTGTGATTGATCAGAACTTCTATTATGCTGGACTCAAACTCACTTCACCAACATTTTCATGTGCAATGAGCAACATGTTACCTGCCTTGACATTTGTCATGGCTATTATATTCAGGTAAACTCTATATACATGCATACATATATTTGAATAATAATTCATATACAGTATGAAACCTCGATAAATTAATAACCTCGCTTAAATAATAGTTTTTCCGGTCCCGACTCATTGAAAACATATTAAATTATTAGTTGGATGATTTAATATTTCACTAAATTAATAGAATCTTGCTGGTCTCAACTGTATTAATTTATAGAGGTTTAACTGTACATAGTTCTAATTAAATAATTGAAACTAAATAGGATGGAGAAGGTGGATATAAAGAAGGTGATATACCAAGCGAAAGTGGTGGGGACAATTATAACGGTGGGCGGGGCTTTGCTGATGACACTTTACAAGGGGCCACTGGTGGAGATGGCGTGGACGAAGCATAGGGAGGCTCATACAAAGGGCGGGCCCGCAAACGAGACGAGCGACCACGATTGGTTCATCGGTTGCATACTCCTCATCATAGCCACGCTTGCTTGGGCTGCACTCTTCATACTTCAGAAGGCCACCCTTACAACGTACTCGAACCACCAGCTCTCCCTCACTTCGCTCGTGTGCTTCATGGGAACCATGCAAGCTATCGCCGTCACTTTCGTCATGGAACATAATACCTCCGCTTGGAGGATCGGTTGGGACATGAATCTTCTTGCCGCCGCATATGCTGTAAGCACTCGCACTCTCTCTCTCTCTCTCTCTACCTTTCTCTCTCTAGAGCGTGTAACGCTAAAAACAGATTATAAGATGTTTAAGAGCTTTTAAGCTATTTAAAAATGTTTGGTAATGTTTTTCTAAAAAGTCATCTAACTTTATAGAATTTTTAATTATAATCAGTAAAAATAAATTATAAGTTGATTATCAGCTCTTAAAATAACTTATCAGATGTTTAAAATAAGCTTATTTGCAAGCAGAGTCTAACAATTTGTACTATACATGCTACCAACTCGAACAGGGGATTGTGACATCGAGTATTTCGTACTACGTACAAGGACTTGTGATGAAGGTAAAAGGGCCGGTGTTCGCCACTGCTTTTAGCCCACTGATGATGATCATAGTCGCCGTCATGGGCTCGTTTATCCTAGCCGAGAAAATCTACCTTGGAGGGTAAATTTTGCAACATCAATTTCATTTCATTCTATTAATTCATCACATAACCTCAAACTATTTTTTTTGTTTTTGAGTCTAAAAATTATTCGATCGTTTCGTGAATTAACTAACAGGGTGATCGGCTCGGTGATCATTGTCGTCGGTCTCTATGCGGTTCTATGGGGAAAGTACAAGGAAGAGAAGGAAGAGAGTCAGAAGAGGAAGCTTCTAGAAATACCAGAAGCAATTAAGGATAATAATAATAATAACACACAATTAATTAATGGTAATGTGCAACTAATGATAGGGAATGGTGTTGAAGCAAAGGCAGATCAAGCTGATAAGTGCCCCTCTATTGCCATTGACTTACCCCCCAACCAAATGATCATACTCAACAAATGATCTCACATCAAGACAAGCTTACTCTTTATTTCTTTTCTTTTTTTTTTTTCTTTTTTCGTTTTTCTTTTTCGAATTTTTGTAATTTTTTTTCTTCTTAATTTTGGGTTTTGGGCTTAAGACGGATCGGATCGATTTTGGATGGAATGTGTAAGGGGAGTATGTAATTAGTGCTTAATTATGCAAGTAAGAGAAATTCAAGGCTCTTTTGCTACTTGAATTGAAATATTATTAAGTTTTAGAATATTCTTCTTCTTTATTTAATTTTTATTTACATGGTATAGCTTTATGGCTAACACACTTAAAAATATATGCATGAAAACAACAGTTCTATATAGTTCAATTGATGTGAATATAATTAATATGTTTAAGGCAGATCAAACAGAATATATATATGGTTGATATCCAAATCCAGAAAAAGAATAATCTTCTGTTTAATAAACAAATCTGTAAAACACAATTCTTTTATTCCTAATTGCAACTTTAGTATCTTTCCCAAAAGAATTCTAGGTACAATGCAACTAAATGGTGTGTGGAATCCACTATCAAAAGAATCGGCATTCGTCACCTCTGACATAATTGTGCATAATTTTACGATGACATACTACTCGTGCTCGATTCGATGTAGCATCTACAACACTATTACCATAATTATCTTGATTTAGATGAAACTTAATTAGAGTCGATGATTTTCTCGTTCAACTTGGGACAACATGAAATCATTCGAGTAGAGAATACTTGCTATAAACGACTCATTATTCCCCAAAAATCTAACAAACAAACAAACGAAATCTACTAAAAGGTAAGATGTTTAGACACATATTGTGCTTTCAGCACTTATTCAACTTGATACCATGCAAACATTTCATTTAAGACAATCAGAAGAAACGGGACCTCTCGAGAACTATCTATATACGCGGTGATAGGATAAGGATACGGACCTGTGGTCTAATTAACCACCTCTATCGTCTTTCGGAAGAGCGACATAGTTGATGGGAATAACAGTAGCCACCTTACCGCTGTCTCTCCTGTCTTTTCCCCCGGAGATTCCGAAACGAGATGAAGGAGTGCCCACACGCCGACTGTTTGGTGTTGCAACCATTGTGTTTGCGTGTGTGCTCTGACCCAACGGTTTTTTGACACTTGGCTTCGAACCAAACAGTGCTTCTTGTTCTGTAGCTAATTGATCTTGTAGCTTCCTTTGTTCCTAATAATTTAATTTTGAATTCACGTCTGTCGTTAAGTGTATGGATATCCTCAAAATCATGCAAATTTCATTACAGGGAAACGGAGATAAGGGAACATACCCGAGATCTGCGTTTCTCCTCTTCTTTTTCTTGTCGGGAAATGGAGAATTCCTCCAATGTCCGCAGTAAAGGAGCCTGGAATTCATGAGAAATTCAAGAAATCGGAACCAAAGTTTTAATGGGTAACGATAGCATTATAAAAATTTAAACATGCAAAGTTGCATTACCTTATTGTATAGAAAAGGCATTCCTTTTTCTAGTTCCCATGCTTTGACCTTTGCAGTTAAATTCTCAACAAGAGCTGCAATGAAGTATTTGAATAAATTATTCAAGCTTCGTTTCAAATCGGTTCAAAAAGAAGAACACGATATATAGACATGCATCTAGCTTATTTTAGAAAAAAAAAAGGGGGGAGGACGAGAAGGAACTCTACGCCCATTATTTATGACTACAATACCAATCAGAACCAAACATCACTAACAATAGAAAAGAAATATATACCTAATAATGGCATATGGAGATCAAGGTTTGGAATGCTAACTAGTAAGCTGTAATACATTAACGTGAATAAAATATCCAGTCAACCCTAAATTCGTAATGCAGTTGTGACTTTCTCAAGGCATTTTTCTATTGCAGAACAAGAAAAAATATCAAGAGACTCAATTCAGAAGCTCACATGGTATTTTGCTGACTAAAGCTCTAGCTTTCTCGGCACGTTTCAAATTTTTGTGCACTCCTCTTCCAGCACTATATCGGTTTTCATCCTGACCGCACGAAAAAAAAAAAGTATGAAACTCAACAGAATAAGTTCGTTACATACATACTCCAAATGCAACAGACTTATAAAAGGATATTCATCCATCACAATTATGTTTTTCAAACTAATATCAATTAAAAAATAAAAGTGAAAGAAATAAACTTAAACCAAGCTAAATTGCCAAATGGTGAACCCCATGCACTAGGAATTTCGCACACGACGAATATACCAGATGCAATGAAACTCTCTCTAGAATATGAAGTTACTTCATAAGAGATGATCTACCTAGGGCCAGCCTGTACGGAAAGGACTTGATAGGGCCGAATTTTGCATTTATATAATTGCAGAAGTTGGAAATCTTGTTTAAGAACAAAAACTAGCTTTAAATTTACATATCTCATGCGTAGGAAAAGAATTATTTGAGTAACAGCAGTGTCAGCCTGAATTGTGTATGCAGTAGTTCACTATTCATTCTCATTTCTCACTTCTAAGACAACAACAAATTGAACTAGCTGCTATTTTTTAACTTCCATTTATTCAGTACCACATAATTCTTGCCATGAGTCTAAACGTAGTCGAAAATGCATGAACTTCAGGTTTATCTGCGGATAGGGTTGAATTAAGTTACGGATAGAGCCAAGTATTCTGACACCTCTGAGATGTATTGTGTAAACATATAGCTGACTGATGGTAGTTGAAGGTAAGCATGTTAGCAATTGGCATAGTGAAAAGTGATTTCAGCACTCAGACTCCCTTCCTCAAGAGAAAATTAACAATGTTATATGCAACCCATATACTATAGTTGCATTAACTAACTTGAGTAAAACTAGTCCACAGATTCCAAGAAAATAGGTTAAAAACACTAACTCGAAAGAACTATTTGAAAAAATGGAACTTCATGAAGCAAGCGTTACTACATAACCTAAATTCAGGTAGTAGATAAAAATTATTACCCTTTCATACTCATCGAGCCAGCTTTCTTCTTCGGATGCATGTCTCCATTTCTCCACCTTATCCAAAATATCCTTTCTGCTTAGAGCCTGTTCTTTGGCTTTTACGATATGATCGTCCATGCTTGATAAAAGATCAGAAAGATCAGTACTACCTGCTGTTGCACATTAAATTAATTAATATTATGAAAAAACAGCAGCAAACATGCAATTTATTAAGGTTTATTTAGAGCACTAATTGCCTCTTATTAAAACACCAAACATCAAATCTGCTATACGTTTTATTTCTACAGCAGTCCTATAATGGCATACAATAGGATAACTCCTCCCACCTCAAGAAATTTTCACTATACTGCCAGTCAAATGGAGAGAGGGGGACAACAGAGACGTCCAAACAATACATCAAGATTTAAAACTCAAATGACAGAAGGTATCAGAAAAGCATGAAAATGAGGAAGCAATAAAATCATGCTAGAAGGCAAATTATCATAGTAGCAAGCAATATAACAACACGTGTATAAACATGTAAATTTCTTGGTCCAAAGAAGGAATGAGAGAGAAATAGTGAAGTATGACGATGTTGCAATTATCAAACTTATTAGGAAAAAAAGCAATGAAGCAAGACCAGATTCCATAAAACTGAGGAGGATCTGCCGTGCATTGTCACTGTCGACATCCATATGAACCCCTTTGTATATCTCTTCAAGCTCAGATTGCCTCTTAAAGATAAGCTCCTTCAACTTACTGACTTTCAAAACATTCAAACGTTCAACTTCGACTTCGGTCTGCAACATATCAACAATTACAGTTACAAATTATGAGATGGGACTTTATTTTCATCAATTCACAATCTTGGAAGCGTACCTGCTCAATGACGTCAACAGATAGAGATCCAGGAATCAAAACCTCACCAGCAGTGGAACCGATTAAGCGAGTCACATGATGAAATCTAGTTTGCTCCTCAATAGGCATATCCATAAGGCTCCAGAGTTCTAAAAGAGTTCTGCCAAGATGTTGTACCTGCATAGAGACAAAGCAGTAATCAGGCCAAATGTAACAACTCGCTGAACGTTAAAGTCTCCAACGGTAAAAGGCTAATATGGTATTGACTTATTCGACCACCTTCTGTGACAAGGTCTAGGCAATTGGAGCCAATTTCGGACCAGTGAAATAATATTATTGGTTGTAAGGTACAATTGTAAAAGGCTATCATGATATGAAATTACATTACTATAACATGGACCAGTGAAATAATATTATCTATTAAATAGCATGACATGAATAATCCAATGGAGACTCAAGTCATTTCGATGATATTATAAATCTCACTTAAGGTGTAAGGTAAATTATTTCTGCACTAGTTAATCAATCAACAAGACCTTCACCATCAAAATATACAAGATTAATGGCATTTTGCAGGCAGGTGTTTGAATGCATCACCTCAATAACAATTGTTTCAACATAAAAATTTGTGAGATTCTAATGTGATTCAACTTTAGATTCGTAACATACAGATCAAGATGCATGCATGACCTGAAAGAACTCAGCCATTGACAGCTGAAAACTTAAATTGTAACAACATAAAAATCATAGGGAATCAAATGAATGCATATAAAGTGAGTATTATATTTCACAATAACTAGAAATATAAAACTTACATAGTTTCAAGAAATTCCCAGTTATTTACAGACGAATTAGGTTCTTCCAACAATTGTCTACTAAAAACAAAAAAGCACCTCCTAAAGTCTATAACGTGAATAACATATAAAATCATATTGGAATGAAAAACATGGATACAGTTGTGTTTAAAGTAACCACATTCGAGGAAATGAATAACTAGAGATTAAAGAAATTATAAACAAATACCAACAGTTCAGTTAATAATAATACAGCTTTAAATTCTTATTATGCAAAATATAGAAAACAAAAGATTGTTAAGGGCCCACCTTAAGTAACCTCTGTTGTTTCTCTTGTATCAGTGAATTCATTTCACTGGTCAATCTAGCTAGTGTTTCATTGCTTATGCTTTTAGATTGACCAGCAACAGAATCAACAAAACTTGGATGAATTTCACCCATTATGTTCTCAAAATCGAGCGACATGACAGCTGAGAGCTCATGGATATCGCTGATATGGCTACTAACTTTCTGCAGACGCAGTTTCTGCACAGGAAAAAAAATAAAAATAACCCTGTTGTTAGTATAGGAAACCCCTTATACCTTAGTCAATTCCACAGAATGATTGCAAAACATGTTTCTGATCAAACCTTTTCAAAGTGAAGCTCCTTAAGGTGAGACTTCAGTTCTCCCAACTTCTTGGTCGTAAGGTCCAATTCATCCACTCGAATTCCATGAATATCAGTAATCTGATCACTGCCTGCTATTTCTGCACAGATCTGTGCAACCTGGAATTCTATTTCTGAAATCTCCTTAACTCTCTCTTGTTTTTTCCGTCTCAAATCCTCCACTGTGGGGCTTATAATAGATATTTGCTCCTTAAGATTGCCTTTCATCTTCTCATACTAAGATAAAGGAAAACGATTGAACCCATAAGTATAGAGTATGAAGAAGCAGCTATAAATTGGCATAGATATGCAGTATGGTGGAGAAAAAAAAACCGTAAAACTCATATTAAATACGTAAGTATAGATTATGATGAGGCAGCTATATATTGACATAGGTATAGACTATGGTTTGAAAAGTGTAAATCGTAAAACTCGTATTACCTCTCTCAAAATTTACTAAGAATGAGGAGATACTTATAACATATTCATTCTATCTAAGGAAATAAACACAACTGCTAATCATAATCAGACATAAAAAATATGAAATTCTTTGATTTTCAGAGACCAGTGTAGAACGATTAGGTAAAACGTTATTTTGAACGGGCACCGATAGAAACAAATCACAATGACTATGAAAATGGACTCAATAACAACAAAGAAGTAAATGTGAGCAAACCCGAGGTAAAGAAACTCGTTCTCCAAGAGCAGAAGCAACTTGAGCAATTTCTGCTTCATACTCAGCCAAAGACTGGTGTAACTCAGCTTTGTACTTTCTGCTTCTTTCAACCTTCCTCCGATATATATCAAGGCATTCTTGCTCCAACTGAAGAAGCATATTATCCCTCTCGTTGTCATTTTCTCCAATTTCATCCCATATTTCCTATTTCACAAAACAATTAACAACAATTATTGAACTGTCCAAAGAAACTAAAAATCATATAGATCCCACTATACAATTCAAGAATCAAGATACATAATTTTATTTTATTTTAGAAGAATTCAAGATACATAATTTGATTCGGCGCTAAACGTTTAAACATCTCTCATTACCCAGAAATCATTTCCGATTAACGTCACCAAAAAAAACTCGCATCATCCCAGAAACAATTCAACCGCAAATGCGGCAACTTCAACACGTGACAAATAATAATACGGAAGAAACCAATATTGAATTAACAAATGGAAGAGTGTAACTGCTCGGAATCACCTGGAGTTCACGGAGGAGAGAAGCGCAGGTGGTGGTGGCGGATTTCGACAGAGAAAGTGGCGAAGAATTGTTCGCACCAAAATTGCTGGTATCAATTGACATGGCGCGGTGAAATTGAGAAGTGAAGCAGATGGAAATTCGAAACCCTAGAAAGAAATCAGTGGGATACTGAAAACGGAGAGCAATTGCTCTATTTGATCTTCATTTCCATTCAGAGATTTTGGGGAAAAAAATTTCAGTTTGCAAATAATAATAGCAATTTATTACGTAGATTCGGTTTTCAAGAGACGAAGGGACTTGAAAAAAGGGGGGGAAGGGCTTTATCGGAAAGAATGGAAGTTTTGGGTTCTTTTGGCGGGATATAATTTGGGCATGGTTTTTCAATTTTTATTTTCTCATTAAATAATTAGATATGACAAGAGTTTTTTAAATTTGGTCCTCGATTGGTTGGAGAAATTAGTCATGATTAACTAAACTTTGTTATATATTTGGTACATCCAGTAATTTGTCGGATCGGCCAATAAATATTATGTTATTATGACTTATCTTGCATGTTAAAAGAGTTTTTTCTGCTGGACGTTTCGGGATCCGATGAAATAATTATATTTTCATTAGATTATTTAAGCATATTTTGGCTGATTTTATTCTCACAACCAAACGAGGGCTTAATTGACATATTGAATGGCCAGTTTCAATTTCGAGGTAGTTCGACATGACAATTCGAATTGCAGAGTCACAATAACCATTGGGTTTAAGTGTTGATATCCATCATCTTAATTGTTTAAGATATTATACGAGAATGTAGATTTCTCCGGTACACTTATATGTTTGTTGCGGATTCTTTCATTTCAAAAAAGAATATTTAAAAACTAAATAAATAAAAGCCAATTTTTAACATGTTTGTCTATTTTACTTCCAGAATGAGGTAGTTGACCCGATTAACTATCACGTTGACCATCGATTAGCCAATAGTAGTATTGTAATTAAATTATATATTTTAGTTGGATCGTTATAATTATATGTTACCATGGCTCGTTTTGCAATATATATGTACTATATTTGAGTCTTGTAACATGTACCAACTTACCATCTCCGAAACCAGTTGATTGTATATGTTAAAATTAAATGCAAGCAAGAATTTGAAAAGGAATTAAATACTTAAGATATGCAATTAATTCATTGATACATCAAATTATATCATATTTGGATTCAAATGCAAATCATCAATTTGATGCATGGCAAGATCAAAACTGAATTAATAATCGGGATACAACTTTTATAGCAAATAAACAAAATAATATTATACATATTCTAGAAGTCATTACCTGTTTATTACAATTATTTAATATTTAATTTAGTTGATTTTTTTACAAATTACATCATACAAGATCGGCAGATTTACTTATAATTTTATATATATTCAAATCTACAACCAAAACTATATTTTAAATTTCTAACATAATGCAATGGGGGTGCTAAATCCTACACTAAAATTTACTAAATCCCATAGATAAATTAAAAAAAAAAACATTCTCTCTCTACTCAAATTTTCTCTAACTTCTCTCTATAATGATTTTATCCAAGTCACTCAAAATTCATTATTTTTTTATGTGAATAATCATAAAAAATGAGTTCCGTTTTATTTAATTTTTATTTAATTTCATTAAGCATTTTTAATTATTCAAATTCATATGAATTCGATTTTTTTCCTCAAATTCCAACTTTATTTTAGCTTGAACATGTGAAGATTTTTGTCAAATTCGAACTTGGAATGCTAATGATGTTTTTAGCAAGTGATTTTGTGAAAACATTAGGGTAAAAGAAGAAGGATGAGGAAGGAGATGAGAAGATTTTAGAGAGATAAATATTTTTAGTTATGTGTATGATTTGGTAAAAATAGTGTGAGATTTAGCATTTCAGTAATGCAATTAATTTAAAATTTCAAACCAATATTCAACTCATTGAACACCATGATGCAATGATTAGGCAAGTAGCCAACATTTACATAGAAAAGTGAGAAGAGAAGCCTGAAAATAAGCATTGGAAGTTTGTAAAATGGGTTTATTACAGATAAGCTCATCATGAGATATTTATTCATAAATAGATCCAGACAGTGACTAAGATCGAAAATTTTTGTGGGGGTCTTAAACACATCGGGAATACGGGGGCAGAGCCCTCAAAACAAATTTGCTATCAAAGAACTTTTAAGATGAAAATTTGATATGAATTTTATTTTTCCTCCATTTTTAAAAGATAATACCAAAGCGAATCGCGAAAGCTAAATTGCTATAAAAATCTAAGAAACATGAATATCCAATCGATTATGAAATTTACATGATGGACTTCTAATTAATATTTATTATGAAAATTAAGATGGGAGAAGACGTCAAACGTTAATTGATCGCGGGTGTGGCTTCAATCGCGGTGGGTGGCAATTAATTAACCGCCATTAGTGGGACTATGCGAGAGAAAAAAGTTTTTTTTTTCTTTTTCAAAGAACGAAAACAAAGTTGGGAAATAGAAGACGAGTACAAGTCAGACGTGAAGGAGGATATGAGAGGTGAGACGACTTTGAATAAGTGGGTTTAACTAAAGTAAAAGTAAGTGGATTAAATAATATAATTAGGTAGGCTAAAAAAATAAAAAAAGAAAAAAAAATATTTTATTATATACGGGGCTCTTTCATATAACCCTTAATACTTCTTTTAATAGAGAAAGGCCCAAACTATTTTGCACCATTTGAGAAAACTCACTCCAAATTTTAGCTACTCATTTTTCCATTTATGTCCCTCCACTTTATACATCTCCATGACCCATCAGCCCACTATCCCCATAACGGTGTATTTCTCTCTTTTTTTTTTTTCCTTTTTTTTATATATATATTATTATTATTATTATTTTATTATTGTTATTAATTTATTATTATTATTTTTATTTTTATTTTTATTTTTATTTTTATTTTTTTTAAATTTATTTATTTATTTTTTATTTTATTTTTACTTTTTTTTTTAATTTTTTTTTCGTTTTTTAACTTTTTTCTCTATCAGGTATGTTAATCGACTATGATGAACTATAGTCGATTAAGGAACCGACTACTAAAAATAACAAATCACAACTACAAAAATGCAAACTCAGTTATATTTTACAAAAACAAATAATATACAAACATTATAATTGACAATACAATTGAAATCAATAAACAAAAAATTCAAAAAAAAAAATTAAAAATTGGAGTCAGTGAGGCATATTAATCGACTATGATGTGAAGCATAGTCGATTAAGAATCTGCTACTAAAAATAACAAATCACAACTGCGAAAAAAATGCAAAATCAACTATATATTACAAAAACAAAAAATATACAAACATTATAAATGATTTATAAAATTGGAATCAATAATCAAAAAATCCAAACAAAATAAAAAAAATTGGAGTCGATGAACCTTAATCGACTACCAGAGCATAGTCGATTGGCTTAATCGACTATGAACATGAACATAGTCGATTAAGGTTTCAGCCTGCGCGAAATTCTCTACACGCGCCGTCATTCGCCCAATCCACCAAAAAACCCTAAATCTGCCTCCCCATTGTCACCACACCGCCCCCACAATACACCATCACCACCTTACTTTGATATTATGACGGTATTTTTATTACAAATAAATAAATAAAATCACAACCCGCACCACCAACTAAATCAGAACCACCACCCATCAAAATTCGATTCCGGCGACAAATCGACAATTTTACCTCTTTTCGCCGCCATGTAGCAATCGTGGCATTCGAACTCAGAATCGCTATCAAATCATCATCATCTCTATGGCTTTTGTTAAGATCTGCAATGACGACGACCCCGACGGCGACGGTGCTGTTCTGGCGGTGATGTTTGTGGTTGGTTCTTCATCTTCCAAGAGAGAATAATCTAAAGAATTGAAAGAGAAAAGTATAATAGAGAGAAAAAAAAGCAGGGAAGAGACGGGAGAAGAAGAGACGGGAGAGAAGAGAAAATAAAATTAGGGTTTTGAAAGAGTATAGTAGACAATTAAGGGTAGTTTTGGAATTATGAAAATATCATATGGGTGAAATATTAGCTAAGGGAGTTTTCTCTAAAACAAAAAAGAAGAAAGCTATATAATGGAAAATTAAGAAAAAAAATGAAATGGAAAATGATTTATTGAAGAGATAATAAAGTCTGTTTCTTATTCATGTAAAAATGAAAATACGAACAGTACTTAAATAATAAAAATAAAAATCTCTGAGCAAATCTTACTTAACAGAATAAAGCTAACCACCTCCTAAAATCTCTCTAACTAATTTTCCATGTTTACCACTAACAAATTGACTTGGTAAATAAAACAAATAACAAACCAACTACAAACATGACTACTTATGTTCAACTAACGTGCAGGAAGTTGCACTAATATTTTTGACACTCCTCCTTAGTGCAAGATTCCGATCAACAACTCCGAAAAGATTCCGAAAAGCCAAAAACTTAGGCTTCGGCAAAGCCTTTGTGAATATATAAGCCACCTAGTCATTTGTATGAATGCTGGTTAGCTCAATCTCTTGATTCAAAGCCTTCTCACGAACAAAGTGATATCGAATTGCAATGTGCTTTGTTCGAGCATGGAAAACTGGATTCAATGCAAGCTTGATAGTACTTTCATTGTCACATTTAATTTGCACAACACAATGAACTTTTCCCATCATGTCTCTTATCAATTCTTTTAACCAGATACATTCTTGTGCAGCCATAGTTGCGGCGGTGTACTCGGATTCAGTACTAGACAATGCAACAATTTTTTTGCTTCTTGCTACACCAAGGGATCACGGTTGAACCAACATTAAAGCAATACCCCGAAGTCGAACGACAATCATTTATATCTCCAGTCCAATCTGCGTCCGAATCCGCTTAGCAGAAAATTAGTAGATCTTTTATACAAAAGACCGTATTCAAGAGACCCTTTCACATAGTGCAATATTCTTTTTGCTGCATCCAAATGAGGATTCCTTAGATTCTGCATAAATTGAGAAACCACACTCACAGCATACGGAATCTCTGGCCTTGTGATAGTCAAGTAAATCAAGCTTCCGACAAGTTGTCTAAATTTTCTAGCATCCTTCAGTAGCTTCCCTTCTTCTTTCTTCAACTTGAGGTTCGGCTCCATAGGAGTAGCCTTTTATTTCGACTCCCCCATATTAAAACGTTCTAATAGTGCTTTTGCATATCCTCTTTGACATACAAAATACCCTTCATCTGATTTTTCAACTTCCAAGCCAAGAAAACATCCAATCTCTCCCAAAATTTTCATTTCAAAACGAAGAGATAAGTTATTCCTCAAATTCAAAATTTTAGATTCATTATCTCCGGTAATTATCATATGGTTGGG